TAGTTTGACAAGTTTTTGGACAATCGTGCTTTTGGTGCTTATTACATGCTTGTTCGCATTTTCCACTACAACATTGTCCACCTGTAGAACATAGTGCTGCTAATGGTAAGCACTGGTTAATAGGTGACGATGACACTTGTCCTAAAGCGTAAATACTTAGTTAAAGATCATAACGCTGAACAGCATAGTGGAACATGAATAAGAATAAACGTTCATATGAAAAGCAAATGCCTTAGGGTCGATCAGCTAATAATACTGCTTGGTCTGTTTTGACGACCGAAGGGCGTGAAGTTTACTTCAGCAGGGAAAATAGTTGTTATTTCGTAATGCTTATCAGCACATGGTTGTTGTTTGTCGTGTACAATTAAGAGGAGGGTGGTGATCTGGTCTACGATCCATAAATTGGATAAAACTATCTGAACTTCTATTTGTCAAATGTAAGTTTTACTTGAGAATCACACAGGGCGCTTCAACAACTAACGAGCAACAGAGTATTAAGCTGTTATTTTAGTTATGGGTTATTAATTAGACACATTATGGAGAAAATACACTTACTGCTAGTTTAAGTCTGAGCTCTAAATCCCAATAACACAATTCCCAGTATGTTTAGACTAGCAACTCTGCCAGTTCTTCTACTAAAAATCCTAGTGAGTGAGTGACTAGGCTCTAAATATACAAGGATATTTAAAGTATTTCGGAGACGAACTTGCAAACCTAAATATCCGAAATATCCTGGTGAGTTAGTAGATTCTGGCGGAGGATAGTAGGATATTTATGCGTTTAGCGTTAGTTATCTGTAAGCTTGTATGTTTTTTGAAAATAATAAAAATTATCTAGCATTTTAAATGCGTTTCAGGAACTCCACATCGTATTTAGGTTTGCGAGTCTGCAACTTTTTTTTCTAAATGTCCTACATATCCTAAATATTTCAGCGAGCGAGTAGGTTCTAAATAGATTGAGATATTTAGGGGAAGCTACCTGAACATCTCAGATATTCTCAAAATCGGGCAACTTGAATTTCTTACTGTCAAAGAACCTTCCAGTCAGTTCAAATTCCCCAATTTCGATTTCGAAAATGATATTTAACGATAGAACATTCTGAGAAACTTCGAGGATCGATTTTTCGAAACACGCATAATTTTCGAAATCTGCACACGTTTCCACTTTATTCGTCTTTTCAGGTCTTGATAGTTGCTTTCCTAGTCACTGTGGGAGTAAGAAAAGGTGAGTATGAAAGCAATGCTAAACGAAAACGAATTCTAGACAGTGGTGGAAAGAGTTATTGCAGAGTTAGTGGTCTTATTGAATACTCTTTCGAACAGCATATAAATCGTCTCCGAACAGACTATAGTGATGTGACGTTTCTCAACTGTTTCTTTCTTGCACTCACTAATTTACAACGTGGTTTTTCCATGAAAATGACCGGCGAAACGATTGCTATATTTAAAGTTCATTCTTTCAATCAAAAAGCGAAACAAACGTTTGTTTCCATCAACATACTTGTTTGTGGAACAGTTGTAGTAGATACTTCAGCAACAACTAACCAAAATCAATATAAAGAATAAGTCTTAGAGAAAAAGTATTGTAGCAATACTCGTACCTGTTGTCGTTGTTGTGGCAGCCACAAGAGTGGACGTAGTAACCGTTGTAGAACCTGAAAATAACAGTAATCAAAAGAAAACGCTTCTTTAACTACACAAAACGCCTCGTATTCGATGAAAATATATTTGTATGTTAATCAAATGTCTGCGAAGCAACAAACGTCAATCCACAGAAATTCTGGCCAAAACCCTGTTAGTAGTGACCGGATAGAACAACTGCTGGTCTAACACAACTGTATATGTTTTCTATCACGGCTTTTTGCTTACATTTTCATAACTAAGCAAAAATGCAGTACAACGAAATATCTTAGGAACCAGAAAGGGATCTCGTGATACGCATGTATACGCTTCTCACGGTGGTATGCGCGAGCAGAATCACGTAAACAGTCTCATCTCAAGAAACATCTGTTAACATCTTTAACTGGAGACCTGGTCTTCAACAGCTGTTTTCAAAACAAACGAAAAGCAAAATTTCCTTGAAGGATACAGAGCGTATTTGTCTACGTGTAGCGAATTAAATTCTCTTCCATATGGGTCTAACAACAACAGATTCGTCTGTTGCGGTGTCAAAAGAACGTCTAGAAAACAGTTGCACTCTTGCATTCACTAATTTACAACGTGGTTTTTGCATGAAAATGTACGGCGAAACGATTGCTATATTTAAAGTTCATTCTTTCAATCAAAAAGCGAAACAAACGATCAACATACCTGTTTGTGGAACAGTTGTAGTAGACACTTCAGCAACTAAAAGAATTGTTATACACAATGCGTCTTATGGCATAAAATAGAAAGTTTCAATCGCGTGCACTTACCTGAACTGGTTACAGTTGTTGGCGATCCTGCAAAATAACAACACGTTCATGTCTTAGTTCATTTTGTTTCATGTAAAACTGTTGTCAGGATTACACGCAAACTAGGCGACGTCTGTGATTCTATAGGATGTGAAACTAGGGCGAAGAGAACGTCAATTGAACCGATTTTCTGACAACGGCACGGCGCCAGCGAGAACCTGTTCGAGTATGCACCCTTCGGTGCTACCATCACAGAAGTAGAAAAAGGTCTTTAAATGCTGTTCATTACCACTTTAGACCACTTACACAGGCATGATCCAAAGTCGTTCTCGGACTATTTATGGTGGAGTAAACTGCAATTCTGTTGAAAAACGTCTGTTGAAAAATGTCCTAGTACGGAACTAGACTTCCGCATAGATTAAGTATGATCTTCCACGAACTCAAAAATATCTATCGCCTAAGTCGCTGCTATAAAATAAAGATCCTGAAATTCTCGAATCACGTTTCTCAGCTACCTTGAGTGCTTGTAGCTTGACAAGTTTTTGGACAACTTTGTTCTTCGTCTTGATTACATGCTTGTTCGCATTTTCCACTACAACATTGTCCACCTGTAGAACATAGTGCTGCTAATGGTAAGCACTGATTAATAGTTGACGATGACACTTGTCCTAAAGCGTAAATACTTAGTTAAAGATCATAACGCTGAACAGCATAGTAGAACATGAATAAGAATAAACGCTCATATGAAAAGCAAATGTCTTAGAGTCGATCAGACGGATTTGTTGACCAGCTAATAGTACTGCTAAGTCTGATTTGGCGAGCCCAGGGCGTGAAGTTTACCGCACCAAAGAAAAGAGTTGTTACTTCGTAATGCTTATCAGCACATGTTTCTTGTTTCTCATGTATAATTAAGAGGAGGATGTCGATCTCGTCAAAAATGAGTAAATTGAATGAAAAAACTGGCAAGATAATGTCGAGTATTTTCGGTGACGGTGGGTGAAGATAGGTGACCGTGAAAGTCAATAACGCTGCAGAAAGCGCCATTAAAAGGATAAACGCGCTGGAATGTTCTTTTCTTGGAACCGTGTTTTGACCTTTAGAGTAAAATAACAATAATCGTTTAAATTAGATCAGGATAATTGCCTGCGACACTTCACGGCAGCCAAATGTCTTAGGGTCGATCAGGCAGATTTGTCGACCAGCTGATAGTACTGGTAAGTCTGATTTGGCGAGCCCAGGGCGTGAAGTTTACTTCGCCTGCATGTAAAGTTGTGAATACTAAGAATAATACCTGTGTTTCAAGTTTACATTTTGCAATTGTAATCGCGCCCTCTTCATGTCTCAAGCAGAAAGGGCTATTGTGAAAGCACAAGCGCTTCCACATGTGGTTGCCTATGTGGCCATCTTTGGTTCGCATTAGAATACAGTAGAGCAGATTTAGATACCTAAACTGGTGGCACTAGGCTGTCATCCTCAAAATAACAGCAGATTAGTTCATTAGATGTTTAGTTCATTTTGTTTTATGAAAAATTATTGTTAACCTGACACTGACTTGTCTGAAAGCTGGGCTATCTGCGGCGTGAAAGTTGAATGAAGAGAATGTCTATTGAAACGTGTTTCTCACAACGGCAAGGTATCACCGTGAACCTATAGGTGTTTTATGATCCGATGCAAGCATGGGAGGAGTAGATAAAATCTTTTGAAGCGAAACAAACGTTTGTTTCCATCAACATACCTGCTTGTGGAACAGTCGTAGTAGACACTTCAGCAACAACTAACCAAAATCAATATAAAGAATAAGTCTTAGAGAAAAAGTATTGTAGAATACTCGTACCTGTTGTCGTTGTTGTGGCAGCCACAAGAGTGGACGTAGTAACCGTTGTAGAACCTGAAAATAACAGTAATCAAAAGAAAACGCTTCTTTAACTACACAAAACGCTTCGTATTCGTATATACTTTATATTTGCATCTCTGTAGAAATGTATG